ACCTTGGGTATCGGTACCACATGAAAAGTATCGGTACCACATGAATAGTATCAGTATTGTTCATATAGTATCGATAATGTAAGAAAATTATCGATACTTCTTGTACGTGAAACACTATTTTGTGCTCAAATTCACTTTTAATATACTTTGAATTATTTTTAAAAACTTTGAATAAATTCAATTCAACTCCAAAAACATTTTGCCTTAAGTTGTTATATAAAAATATAGTTCAATATATATATAAGAATGTAATAATTCATTAAATATGAGAATTGGTTTATATGTTAAAATCTCTCTTTAATCTTTTGTTGAAATCATTTTTTTAATTATTGTTGCTTCTTCTTTAGTGCCATTAAAGAAAATAAACTATTCCATCCGTCCCATTAAAACTGTCCTATATTGATTTTTGAAAAGTTAATTTTTTTTAAACTTTGACCACAATTATTTTAAAAATTTTAAAAAATTTAAATTTTATAAAATACATATTTGAAAACTATTTGATTGAAAGTTTCTGAAAGTATATTTTTTTCATATTTTTATAAATAATAAATTTTAAATAATTAAGAGACAAAGTAAAAACATTGAACAAAAAAATAGTCAATAAGGAATAGTTTTATTGAGACGGAGGTAGTATAAAATTAATGTTGAATCTCATTACCAAAATGTGGGTTTGTCCCAGTGGTTTGGCCTCATGTCAAACAAACTACATGCCATAGATTTGATTCCTCTTTTCACGCAATTAGGAGGTGACACTTGTCACCTTCTGATTGGAAGAAAAATTAAATTAATTAAAAATTTAAAAACTCTAACAACATGGTGACATGTGTCACAATGTAATTAGACAATTAAATTCATTTAATTAAATTAAAATTAGGATCAAATTGATTGAATGTATGAATAAGGAGGACCAAATGTGTAAATATAAAAATTCTTTTAACTGCCACGTCAAAACTTCTATCAAATATTAACGGCAAGTAACTTGGTTGACAACATTTAAATAGTTAGATGGTTTGATTGACAAAATTAAAAGATAGATGATAAAAGTAAAATAGATAAATAATTAAGTGGTCATCGGTATAATTTACCCTAAAAAATATTATATGATTTGATCTAATACCAATTCATACCCATTGATACAAAATTATAATATTCTAAATTAATTTATTTTTATATAATTGCATCCAAAAATAAAATATAACTAGTTAATTAAAATTTATATATATATATATCATCTAAAATATATAATGTATATGCACAAACTAAGTTACTTCAATAATTTAAGGAATAATTATTATCTTAGATATCATGAGTTTGAACATCAACAATTATAGAATATTTAAACATATATTGTCAATTAACCTAGAGTCTCTAGAACATATAACAACCATTTGTAACCAGAGACAGAGCCACTAAAGGATTGGGAGAGCTATCCTCCCCAAGTCAAAAATTTATTTTTTTACCTTTAATTTATATATAAAATTTAAACATTTATGGAATAATTATGAAATTAGCCTCCAATTTAAAAAATATATACTTTACCTTTATAGTTGAAATTCTGACTCCGTCCCTATTTGTAAATTACTCTAAGATTAAGAAATATAATTTATTTTATTTAGATTATTATAAGACCATAATTGATTTTAATATATTTTTTTTATTTTTTGATGTGATAAGATGAATGGTAGGTGAAGCCTAAAAGAACGTATTTATGGCTATTCACATGTTTGGGGGTCTTATCCTCATATGTAGGAGTTGTAAAGGAAACAAAGCAATACTAATGTGTTAAATTTTGGATTCCGTTTAGTTTTTATTGAATATTTAAAGATTTTATTAAAGATTTTATTTGAATATAATAATAAATATTTTTAAAAAATTATATAAATTTAGAATGAATATAATATAATATATGTACAGAAACTCTCAACCATTAGACAATAAATACTTATATCCCTAACACTTATAATATTTAAATCTAAAATTTCAAAAAATAATAACTTCTTTACTAACGTAGTTAGGTTCCAACTAAAATTAAATAATTTAAAAACAAATATTGTCAAGAATAATGGCAAAGGGGCTTAGCCGACAATAACGGAGTAGGCCCACCCAAGCTATGAAGTTCCGGTTTCCATAAGCCAACGTTGATTACGGCACTTGCAATGATCACAAGGCAGGGAACTGCTCATTTGCTAATCCTTGGACTTTTAACTTTGTAATTTTTGACTCATTCCACAAACCTTTCCATCCCAAAAAAAAAGCGGTTAAATGATTATTTTTTATTTATTTATTATAAATTTGATTTTATTTTTTGTTCTCATGATCATTCTTAAACTCCTTGTTGATGATTGCAGAATTATCTTATTAAAGACCTTTTTGGCTTGGGAACTAGTCCTGTAAACGAACTGAATGTACACGAATGGAGGTATATTCATATTCGTTCATTTAATAAATAAATGAATAAATTTTTTTTTGTTCATGTTCGTTCATTAAGGAATATAGTTTGTTCATGTAAATGATAAACGAATATAAATGAACACAAACGAATGAACATAAACGAACAATACAAACACAAAAACAAACTTATTCGAACACAACAAATGAATGTAAAAAAAGTAAACAACAAGAATAACAATTTAAAATTCATTAATATAACCTGAAACTTTAGAGTTAATTTGTTCGAATACGACAAAAACATACATAAATCATAAATAAGTTATATGAACATAATAAAGTCTCAATGCTAATTTGTTCAACAAAACAATCTTCTTGAAATCCAAACAACTTCAATAATCTTCGTAACATATTCAACTTGCCCTCTGTTCGAACATAAATGAACGAACATATAATCGAACGTAAATGAACGAACGAGCCCTTTGTTCATATTTGTTCATTTAATTAAATGAACGCAAAATTTTGTTCATGTTCTTTCATTTAATAAATAAACGAACATAAACGAACTTCCCGCCGTATTATTCATGAACGATTTGCTGAAGGTTAAGTTCATTTACAAGCCTATTGGGAACTCACACATCCTCTTCCTTAGGTCATGTGAGTGAACAAATTACGAGTTTGTAGAGTTTATATGTACAGTTATAACACTTAAATTTTATTTGAATTTATTTTAAATTGAACTTAATCGAATTAAATATATTTATTTGATTTATTAAATAAAACATAAAATTAAAGAGTTAACTTGCAAAAAAGAAGAAAAGTTATTGTCCAACAAAGAAATTGAAGTCATACATGTACTTTGTAAATGTCTGGTCAAAAATGAATTTTAACACAAAAGACGAATAGAAGAAATAAAAAAAATTATGGACCATATCATAAAATAATCAAATTAATTATCACAATAAAAATTATATCGTTTTAACTTTTTTTTGATGATCCGAATTTTACATATTCAAGTTTGAATTTAACGAAAATTTTCAATAGTTAAAAATCTAAAATTATATTATTTTAATTTTTTATCATTTAAATTTTATTCGTATGTGAAATTCGAATTAAAATTTCTAATTACTTAAATAACACCAACAACTTAAAAATTTAAGGATTTAGTTGTCATTCAAGCGCGGTCCAATTAAGAAAAGCATTTCATTTACAATAATTTTCGCGGTAGCTATCGAATAAAAAGTAAGCAATGCTAAAAGACATGTTTATTTTTTACAAGCAATGATAAGGATAATAGCAAAATAAGACAAGCGGAGAAAATAAAATATATTTTCCCCATAATTTTAGGATTTGGGTAAATGATAAATTTTATCATTAAACTTCTTTTACTCCTAATGTAGTCACTAAAGTTTAAAAAAATTCAATTTACTCATAAAAATTCAATTTTCTTCTATTTTAAGCACTCGATGTAAAATCATAAATAAAATGATGACATGGAAGCCACGTGTGTTCATGTAGAATGTTTTTTATTGATATAAAATCCATACTTCATCCACGTTATTTTCTCTTTTCTATATTTTTACTTAAAATTTAAAAATTTTACAATTTTATCTTTGTGTCACGTTGATGTTGCAAATACCAATATCTGAAATCTTTGCTGAGTACTCAAGATATCAGTGAATTAACTTTATTGTCTTCTACCACTTTACCTAAATCACTTTAAAACTCGTGAAACTCAACACTAAACTCATAACTTATGAAATTCTAAATTATTTTGATCTATAATATACGCCATTCGATCAACATGAAATTAATATATATAAGTCACTACCATCTCTATTTTCTTTCGTTGAGACTTAGTATAAGATCTTTCATTATCAAGAAATCAAGAAATTATTTTTTTTCAAAAAAAGACATATTTGAGTTCATTTTTCTAAAAGAAAAGTGTTTAGTCATAACGTCTCCAATTTTTTGATAGAAAACGAATTAAAAATAATAGAAAATCAAAAGTTTAATGAATAAAGTGGAAATTTTAAAAAGTGATGACCAAAATAGGAATAAAAAGAAAGATGAGTGATGAAATTTATAGTTTATCCTTAAGGTTTCAATGCAAAAGAAAAGACATAAACCAGAAGTCAAATTCTGGCTAATTTTCGAACAGAAGTATAATTTTTCGGCTTTGCTTGTCATCTAAACTACTTCCTCAAAGAATTTTTCTTTTTTCCTTCGATTTACATAAAGAACAATCAACCCAAACTTTCACTCATCCAGCTCATAGTTCTTCACAGGCAAGTTTCTCCCTTTCTCTTTGAATTTCGGATCCGTTTGTTTTAAATTATGTGTTCTGAACCTCTTTTTTAGATCTGCAATCAGTTTTATTGTTCATTTCCTTTTTTTTGTCATTTTTCCTTCTTTATTTTCCAGGAAAGATCAGTTGAGAAATATAAACCTAGTTGGTAGCAGGTATCGATGGTTAATTTCCAGTTTTATTTGAATTCATGAACTCTGTCATAAGATTGATCATAGAAAAGTTCCCCAAAAAGCATTGATTTTGAATTCATGAAATCTGATGGAAAAGAAAATATTTCCTTTTTAGTTCTTAATTTGCTTCTATGCAAGTTTATCTGCTGATATCATAGCTAGTTTGGATCATATAACAAAATTTTCATTGAATTATTTGTTAGATATTGTGACCTGAATTTTGTTTTAGCTCGGTCGAGAAATTTGCAGTGCGGCCCATAGGTTATTTAAAAAAATTGCAAAATTTGCGATGGATGTAGACTCTCAAGTCGAAGGGGGCGGACGGTGAATGTTATTTTATTGGTTGTGTAATCGGGTTGAGAGAGCACATTTAGTGTTTTGTGTGCACCTGGATTTCTCTCTTCTGTCCATGATTTTCCAGATTGTTTCTTTTCTTCTTGTTGTTTTGCTAAAGTACACCTGTAGTTATTCCGTTATTGATCGTTCTTACTATTTGAATTTGAGGTTTTTCATCATCATTCGAAGCAGGGATTTCGCCCGTCAGAGTATACACCTAGGAGTTTTAGCCATCTCCGACACACATGGATCAAAGTAATCAAACTGTTTCTCCATCTTTACTTATCTAACTTCTAATATGCCCTCCTTTTAATTTAGGAACTTATGTTTCTGTGATGCTGTTCGATTATATTTGCTCCTAGAAGTTGTTCTTTTCCATTTCGGAAATATTACACCGTCTTATATAGCCGGTTTCTTTGGTGTCGTATGCTATGTCGGGAATTTATTTTCTTTGGGATGAATCTATAATTAGTTTCCGAACTATAACATGATTAACAATGTCACAGGCACTACTGTGGAAGAATTCGGGAATTCAAGAAACAGCCTCGAGGTTACAAAATCACTCTCTGATAAACATCTTGATCTTTTGAGGCCATCTGCTCGATACTATTCACTATTTAAGGGTAGGGAGTCTGTTAAGCCTTTATTTTTCGTAGATTGCTACGTGTAATTGGTCATTGATAGTGCATCGTATTATTTATACGAATATATACATGAATCAAGACGTAAAGCTGTGATGGTAGGGCAAGCGCCAGATGCAGCTGGTAAAGGCAAGTATACACTTATCAAAGACGAGGAGGACTTCCAAACAGGGGTTTTCGACAAGCCTCTCCCGTGCTTTGGATGCGGTATCGGATGGTTTTCGTGAGTACTTTTTGCAATTCCTCATGTTTCTTCCAGCAGTTTTTTCCATTTCTCATGTCATGTTTCTTACAGCTTCCTGGTAGGATTTTTATGTCCGTTGATGTGGTACTATGCTACATTTATCTATTTCGGGAACCACTACCGTAAAGATCCAAGAGAGAGAGCTGGCCTTGCTGCCTCTGCAATCGCTGTAAGTGCTTCTAGTCTCCGCCTTTCCCTTTCTCCTCTCATAAATAACTTTCGAATTGATCAAACAATCTCCGCCTTTCTCGATGTTTGTTCATACCGGTGTTCCATGGCGACTTTGTTATTGCAGGCAATGGCATGCTCTGTTGTACTGCTGATCATAATAGTTTTTCTTCTGTTTTAAACCCAAATACCCGGAGTTGATGTCTTCTTCGTAACAAGCGTATACATGTTTGAGTTAAAAGGAATCAAATGCTTTGGCTACAATGGAGAAACAAGAGTCAACAGCAGAGCATCGTTGTAAAGACAACAGATTTGAGAAATGTTCCGTTCATAGAAACTATACTTCTGCATTTGATTAATTTGAGGCTATGTTTGTTTGTAGGTAATTTGATGAGTTCCATTAATGAACCAAAGTTTGTTCCATTGTTGATGGTGATGCAAAAATGCTATTTACTTGCAAATTTGAGTTTTTCGAATCAAAGTTCTATCGATAAATAATCGACTTATGAAGTCAAGTTCGTATAATATACTAAATAAACAGATTTAATCGAATGAATGACTAAAACTGACAAGGGAAACCAATTACCGGCGACATTGCCATCCTCCAAAGTCAAAGCACAGAAGCTTCATTAAAGGTTGATTTTTAGCCTTGCAGCAAAAATACAATGTTCGGACAAAATCAACATTAGTGAAAATAAGAATAACGTTCGGCCTTCTAGAAAGCAAACACTTACTCGAGTTTGTCTTTCCACATTGAGTAATTGCAACGTTTTTCATTACCGAACGATACGGATGATGAACGACGAACTTCCTTCACGATGACATTGCCGTTGCCATCAATTTCGTAATAGAAATCCATGCCATCCAAAACCAGGTGATACATTAACTCTTCCGAATCAGCCACTTGTCGGTCTTGGGAATCATCCAAATCCAAAGTACTATTCGAGGCTTCTGCGGTTCCTATTTTTAGGAGATTATTATGAGGTCGGTTTCGTTGAGACACCGAACGAATATCCCAAGAAAGTACTCGGTTGACCAAGCTTTTAAGTTCATCTAGTGAAGAATAGAGGGAGTTCTTCTCCTGTAACAAAAATGTTCTTTTGAATCAACCAAATAGCTTCGTACCGAAAGACGAAGAAGCCTAACCGTCAAACAATAAACAAACAAATTACCCCTTTCGTATTGACCATAACATGGTTCCTACATCATGCTTGATTTAAAATTAGAAAAATCAGCATACTTACCGCTGATAACCAGCAGTTTTCTAGTGAGGACGCTAAATCATCAGAGAAACTGACGGAAGCAACTGACAGCATGCTGTCCACCTGAGCAAAATTTAGGCTTACTTCAGAACAGTATACATAAATATACTGGGAAACTAAAGAACGATAAAAGAGAAAATACCGTGACCCAGTTCGGTACAACTGCTCGTTCAATGCTGTCACAGTATGGAAGATACGGTTTGATGTCCAGCACTAGCTGTTAACAAACGCGAAGCAGGATTTATGTTCATAACTTTCAAGAAAACGTATAACAGGAAAGAAACAGGTAAAGCCAATGATAGCTCCCGGTAATGTTCAGGAAACGAGCTTACTGTTCCGTCAACTAGATCTACACCAGAGAGTAGAAGCACATTTCCTTGTACTGTCTCCACCTTAAATATAGAGTAAATCAGTTTGAAAGTGATCTCTCGCTCGCTCTCTTACATGCATACACATTTTTAAAGAAAATTGCAATACCTTGTTAACCCAAATATCAACCAAAGGATGATCATAGGTAAACAAGCTGTAGCAGCAATAACACATTTGTAAATTACTGTATACCTTTACTACAGTTAGTCCTATAGGACAAGGTCGATGTGGAGATCGTGTAGCGAAAAGTCCCCTCCTTCCTCCTTTCAATCTCGGAACCCTGACCTATTAAAAGTGACCAACCTTCCATAGAAGTTTCAAGATGATAAGAAAGTTTCAGAAATGATAGAAATATATATACATATCAGTATCCTTACTACAGTTCCACAAACCTTGGCCTTAAACTTCGATTTAGATGGATGCTTCCATAACTTCTCCAGATCTGTATTCAAATGATATATATATATAATCCAGCAATGAGAATATTCTTCGAGACCCTCAAGTGATGCTCTATGTTGCACTGATACGGATACGGGGACGGGGACAGGAAACGACAATTTCTAAAATTATAGGGTACGGAGACGGCAAGAGTACGGCATATAAAATAATTTTAAAATTATAAATATAAGTAGCTTAGATCTAGGCATCAAAATTCCATTTATCATATATTCTAACTTCACAGCTTTAAGGATGATTAACCATTATGCTTCAATTGTTGCAGTAACTGAAAATGCATAAAGACATATCAGCTTAGGGTTGTATGTGTGCCTAAACGACGTGTACATAGATAGCTAGGTTGAGCTTCAGCTTCAATAACCTGGAAAAGATTCGGACATTTGGTCAATAGGTTGCAACTTGCAAGTGCTCATCTCTCTGCAGGGTTTATACCGTAATTGTACTGTAAACAATCGTTCACCACCAGAAATTGGTTATAATAGTATCCAATACCCATCGTATTGGGCTTGGTCCCTTATATCCTGAACCGTGGCCCTCCCGGCTCGGACCCACGGTTCCAGCACCGCCATAACCTCCAGTGACACCCCGTCGGAGTCGTGGAACACGAAATGCGATCTGGATCCGAAGAACCAAGCGTTGTAAGCCATCTATTCTCGGATTCTATCGGCGCTTAGATTACCGTACAAAGATGATCCGCAGTGAAGATAATCGCATTGGTATGGCGGCCGGAATTTCGATTCGTTGTAAGATCCGGGTGGTTCTTGTAGAGCTACAAATTTCTCGTATTTTCTCTGGGATTCGTCGTAGTAGGTGTTTATCGTTAGCTTTCCGCCCGTGTTGTCTTGGTTCGGGTTGAACGGGAAGGTGCAGTTCACCTCTGTTGCACGGAACGTCCCCAGCGAGCACCGAAACGTCCCCCGTATCGTTCGGCCGTACCCTACCACCGTGGCACGTCCCCGGTACGTACCTCGGCCGTCCCCGTACTGTTACCGTGCCAAGGACATTTCGGGTACTTGAAACGCCCTTCCTCTGCCGTCCCCGTGCAACATAGGTGATGCTGGTGGAACTCTAGTTGAATCTAAAACCAAACAGGCCTTAGCAAGAGGAACAAGTAGAGGTTGCCAAGGACTCCCATTCCTGCATAAATTATACATGTAACTGTTCTTATCAGAAATCGAAAACTATCACTGACTAGCAAAGATAAAACTAGTAGTAAGCTCAGTGTTATCAAGGCGTGTGCCTAGGCAGAGCTGCACATTGGCACTGGAAAATAGATGTGCTTCAAACCCTATCAAACGAGGACCATTTAATCAGGTGCAGTGACGGAGCCAAACAGACAACGGGAGTGGTCCTGGCCCCTCCCAACTCCAAATTTCAACATCAGTAAAATTAGGCCTTACCGCCCCCTAAATTTTGAGGTTAAATAGTTAATAGGCCTTCGTTTTTTAAAGTTTAGCAATTTGACCCCTCTTGATATTTGATCCTAACTCCGTCCATGATCATATGCATGCTTAGCACGCCAAACTTTATAGATAAACTATATAAGAATTGCATGTTTTATATACACACACAGAAACACATACAAAAACTCACACAGATGCATATTGCTGCTTAACTTGACTTCACTCAGGTCATTTTTCATTCTGTAAAATAAAATTGTTAATTCTTTAACGAAGAACCATTGGGAAATCACCTCGTAGAAAAGCAAGATTGAACGACACCGATCGGAGCCATAGGATACGACGTAGTATCTGAGTTCTCAGACTTGGTTTCTGCTTGTGCTACTACTGCTTTCCTCAATGCCTACAAATATTCTATTTTTTCTCATTCGTATATGACGAAAACAAAAGGAAAACCAGAAAAGAACGATAGAAAATGAAAAGGGAAGAACCTGTTGAGCCCTAATCCGACCTTGTCTTTCAGCAGCACATTTTTCCAAAGCAGAATTGAGGGATACTTGAAGCTCTTTCAGCTTCGAATCAGACTCCGTCGACTTCTTCTTCCATATATAAACTGAAAAGGAGAAGGATCAACAATCACCATAGTTTCGAATTAAATATATAAAGAAGAAGAAGCAAAAGGGTAAGAGAGAGATGATACAGGAGATAGCTGAGGAAGCGGAAAACACTGCAGCAAGTGCCAATGCTAAGATGGCCGGCATGGGGTTTTCACTAAATTGATGCTTTTGTATTTCTCTCTTCTGCTCTTCGATCAAAGTATACCAAGTTTAGGGTTTTAGGTTACAGTTGCTGCTGGAATTGTGTTGGGTTTTACAGAGTTAGGAACAAACAAGTTTCTTTACTTCTTCGTTGCGACAAATATATATATTAGTTCCTAAATTTAATTTAATGTTCAATTTGGCTTTAGTTTTTTTTATCTAATAAGAAACTTATTTTACGAGAATATAAGGATAAACTAATGTTCATGTCATTTTAGTTTTAATTTCGTTCAATTTTTATCATCAAAATTTTAAAAAATATGTTTTGATTACTCACATTTTGTTGATTTATTACAATTTGATATTCCTTGAAAGATATAGAAAAGGAAGAACAGCAAAGAAAACGGTTAAAGTACCATTGTTTATGGGACTATTCAACTCAGTAGTTGGCATCGGAGTGTCCTTCATAATTTTCTTTGTTGTCGTGATGATGATCATGATGATCGTACTTGTGATTATTATTGGTAAAGACGATGAACCTCGCACAGTTGCAGTCGTGACAAGGTTGATCATTCCAGGAACTCCGATTCTGGAAGCAGTCCGCATGGAGTAGAGACGAAAGAATATCAGATCATGCATATTTGGTCATGAAAATGTTCTATATGTGTAATCCAAACCAACATAAACATATTTTTCTTCTGCTTTGAAGTACGTTGATATTTCCTTGAGGTGGCTTTATGAACAAAAACAAACATCAACCGCATTATATTTTCCCTGCAAAAAAAAAAAAGTTTTTTTAACAAAGGGAAAGCTAAAAGGAAATAAAAAACCTTATCTGTTTTAGCAGCGGAGATTCTTTTGGAGATGGGTTTTTCATCTTCATCGTCTCTCTCTTCGATTTTGGGCTTGATTGCTTTGTCTCCACTTCATTTGGAGATGGGTTTTTCATCTTCTGCATCATAAACGAGTTCCCCAAAAGGTTAGGGTTTTCAACAGAAGAAGAAGAAGAGAGTTGACGGAAGGTTAACTGCTATGTCAGCAAAAAACTACCGGAGATAACGGTAGGGACCTTATTAGAAATGAACTAAAAATTTGATGATTGTATTGCAAATTTCAAAAGTTAGGTGACCAAAATGCAATCTCCCAAAACGTTAGGAGACTATTTGTATATTATTTGTAAAATCAATCAGCTAGTGTTATTAATTACTACAAATATGGCAAAATCAATGAAACTGACGGGATTAAAATCCGTTGAAAACGCTCACGACGAGTCAGTTTGGACTGCCACGTGGGTTCCCGCCACCGACAATCGCCCGCTGCTCCTGTTAACCGGTTACTGCCTCGGCGTGTTTGACGTTGACACCAACGCTATGATCACCACTCTCGAAGCTCCTCCGTCCGAGGTTGGCAACTACGATTCGATGCCAAGGTAATACTACATTTTGCTCGACTCTTTCGGAGAAGAAATTTATGAGAATTTGTTATAGCTGCGGGAAATCGATTGATTCATGAACTGTTTGAATTTTTAGAATTTGAAAAGCCACTGATAAAAGGTACTAATGTCAATGTGTTCATCTAAATGAAAGAAATTCAAATTAACAATGGTATCAATGATATAGTTCTCCAATGGCTCAATCATTGTTATCTTGTTGCCTGATTGAATTGAACATTCTTGGTAACCTATGTTACCTGGACTCGGGTGCATGTATCAGACACGAATTCTCGTGTCTAGACTGCGCTTGCGCCCGTGACCGTGTAGCTTATGCTAACAAATCTCTGTGTTGGAAAAGTCAAGAAAATGGGGCTATAAAGGGAGGCTGATTTTTTTCAACAATGGAGAGCACATTTTCAGCAAAGGGGGCACCGACCAATTTTTAATTATAATTGAAATAGGATTAATTATAAGATTAGTCCTTTAGTTTCAACTATAAATACCCTAGCCCATTTAGCTTCAAAATCATCCCAAAAATCTTCCACTTCTCTCTCAAGTGTGTTTTGTAAACACCTGTAAATTTTCTCTTTAGTAAAAGATCTGCAGCAGTCCGAAGACGTAAGCATAATTGGCTGAACTCCGTTATCAATTTTTTGGGTATTATTTTTTCGCTTTTATTTCGCATTCTCACTAATCTTATTATAGGAAAATTACTTGTTACTCATTTATTTCACAACAACTGGTAATCAGAGCTTTTGGTTGTAAGTTTTGTCAATTTTTTGCGGGTTACTATTCATTACGATTCACGTAAATAGTAAATTTCGTGAATAGTGAAATTTTTTCGGTAATACGAATTTATCGACGGAGGTGTTCTAATACACGGTAGTTCGCAAGAATTGTCAAAAATGATCCAAACGAATCCAGATTCGAGTGGGAGCGATGGCTGCAGACGAAGGGAATGTGAAAATTGAAAAGTTCGATGGTGCGGACTTTGGCTTTTGGAAGATGCAGATTGAAGATTTTCTGTACCAGAAAAATCTATATCAACCCCTCTCAGGAAAGCAACCAGAGGGCATGAAGAATGAAGACTGGGCTCTTCTCGACAGACAAGCCATCAGAGTTATCCGACTGACGTTATCCCGTAATGTTGCTTTCAACATAGCGAAGGAAAAGATCACGGCGGGTCTTATGGTGGCTCTCTCCAGTATGTATGAGAAGCTATCAGCCTCAAACAAAGTTTACTTGATGAGATGATTATTCAATTTACGGATGGCGGAAGGGGCATCAACGGCTCAACACCTAAATGAACTCAACACTATCATAACCCAGTTGAGTTCTGTGGAAATTGAATTCGATGATGAAGTTCGAGCTTTAATTCTCTTACCATCTCTACCAGACAGTTGGAATGCTACTGTTACAGCAGTCAGCAGCTCGTCGGGAAACAGTAAATTAAAATTCGACGATGTTCGAGATCTAGTATTGAGTGAAGAAATTCGATGGAGAGAATTGGGTGAAGCATCAACCTCCTCAGCCTTGCACACGGAGTCCAGAGGAAGAACTTCAGAAAGAAATTCAAATCGTGGCAGATCCAAATCCAGAACGGGAAAATCAAGAACAAGAAAGAAAGATTTTACCTGTTATAATTGTGGCAAGAAGGGTCACTTTAAAAGAGACTGTCGAGCACTGAAGAAAGATACCGGTGCATAGGGATCTGCCAACATGACAGAGGAGACAGGTGATGCGATGATTCTAAGCGTCAACAGTCTGACTGAATCATGGATCTTGGATTCAGGGGCATCTTTCCACTCCACCCAATACCGAGAAATCATGGAGAACTATGTCAGTGGTGATTTTGGGAAGGTTCATCTAGCTGATGATGAAACCTTGAAGATCGTCGGAAGAGGAGACATCCGACTAAAGTTGCCAAACCAGACCACCTGGACGTTGAAAGGTGTGAGACATATTCCTGGTCTCAAAAGAAATTTGATTTCTGTTGGACAGCTTGATGAAGAAGGATATAACACAACCTTTTCAGACTGTGAATGGAAGATTACCAAAGTAGCACTCGTCATTGCTCGTGGTAAGAAAACCGGATCTAAAGAATTTAGATGCCGGACTATGCGAGGATTGCATCTTTGGCAAACAAAAGAAAGTCAACTTTGCAAAGATTGGTAAGACACCCAAGGCTGAAAAGTTATAGTTGGTTCATACTGATGTATGAGGACCATCTCCAGTTCCATCTCTTGCAGGCTCACTATATTATGTCACCTTCATCGATGATTCTACAATGAAGGTGTGGGTTTATTTTCTGAAGAAGAAATCAAAAGTCTTTGATACCTTCAGAAAATGGAAGGCCATGGTGGAAAATATGGCTGGTCTAAAAGTCAAGTGGTTGAGGTCTGACAATGGAGGAGAATACAGAAATAGGAGATTCAGAGACTTCTGTACAAACAATAGGATCAAGATGGAGACAACAGTTCCCATGACACCGTAGTAGAATGGCGTAGCAGAGCGCATGAATAGAACTCTGAATGAACATGCCAGAAGCATGAGGATACATGCCGGATTGCCCAAATTTCTATGGGCTGAAGCTATCAACACGGCAGCTTACCTGATCAACCGTGGGCCCTCAGTTCCTTTGGATGGCAGAATACCAGAGGAAGTTTGGAGCAAGAAAGAAATAAACCTTTCACACTTAAGAGTGTTTGATTATATTTCTTATGTACACATAGACTCTGCTGAAAGAAGTAAACTTGATGCTAAGTCCAACAAATGTGCCTTTGTTGGTTACGGCGGTGATGAGTTCGGTTACCAGTTTTGGGACTATGAAAATCGGAAGATCATCAGAAGCAAATATGTCATTTTCAATGAGAATGTGACGTACAAAGACAGGTCAACTGTAGAATCAAGCATCTCCAATACCAAAGCTGAAACAAAGGAATTTGCTGAGTTCGAGGAGATTTCTGGAAATGATGTTCAGATCAGTCCTGAAGCAGTTCAAGAAGAACCAGGCACACCGGAACTAAGACTCTCCTCCAGAATTCCTAAACCAACCCAACGATATTCTCCTTCTTTGCACTACTTGTTGCTGACTAACAATGGTGAACCAGAGTGCTATGATGAAGCAATGCAAGTGGAGGATTCAGTCAAGTGGGAGTCTTCTATGAAAGATGAGATGGACTCACTTATGTCAAATCAGACGTGGGAATTAGCTGAATTACCACCAGGCAAGAAAGCGCTTCATAACAAGTGGATTTACAGGATTAAAGAAGAGCACGATGGGAGCAAACATTACAAAGCGAGATTGGTTGTCAAAGGTTTTCAGCAAAAAGAATGTATTGACTACAATGAAATTTTCTCTCCAGTCGTGAAACTGTCTACTATCAGATTGGTGTTGAAAATTGTAGCTGCAGAAAATCTACATCTTGAGCAGTTAGATGTAAAGACAGCTTTCCTTCATGGTGATTTGGAGGAAGAAATCTATATGAGGCAGCCAGAAGGCTTCATAGAGGCAGGCAAGAAAAACCTGGTATGCAGGTTGAAGAAGAGCTTGTATGGTTTAAAACAAGCTCCTAGACAGTGGTACAAGAAGTTTGACAGCTTCAGTGGTTTTACCAGATGCCAAGCAGATCATTGTTGCTACATCAAGAGGTTCGA